GAATCCAAAAGTTTACTTTTGGAATCCAAAAGTTTAGTTAGATAAATTTGTCCAAACTTTTGGAATCCAAAAGTTTAGTTGATTCAGTCAACTTACACTTTTGATATCCAAAGGTTATAGATTATTGAATTTAAACAAAGAAATTATATGGAATATTGTTCATAATCATTATTGTGCAATGTTCAAATGATGTTGTTTGTTAATAAACAACACTCTATATATGTTTGCTCATTGGGTGTGCGCACAATATTTTGAAACAAATTTGATTGCACAATGTGCTAGTACAGCAGCTCTGTCTTGAGCTGAACCTTTGTGGGTATGCTGAAAAAAGACTTGGATTGTGAGTGGCTTCAGCTTCATGTGTTGTCCACTATGATAGCTTGCATGGTGTCTATCTAAGGCATGATGCTTTTATGATAACTTTTCATGTGGAGATTGATATAGCCTTCATGTTAAGCTGAACAATTCATTGGTATATGTTAATGTTCATATCCATGAAGGAGTTGAACCACTTGTATAGTCAGTGTGCATTTGAAAGCTTTCATGAGATGCATGTATTGAGTCAGGTGGTACCATGCTCTGTGAAGCCTTTGGCTGTCATGATGAGTTTATGTTGCATACATGCATGTGGCTTTTCAGCTTGCACTCTACTCATAGTTTGCTTAGTGTGTCAATGTACACAGTTAAGCCATGAGTCAAGAGACTGTGGTGGATGATACTTTGGTGGATGAGCAACCACCTCCATCTACACTATTGCCAATTGCTGATCCAGAAGATGAAGTGGCTTTGCTGCCTCAGGACAATGAGAAGGGCAAGGACATAGTGAAGTGGATTGAGGTAGCTGTTGGTACAGAGACCCAAATGGTTCCTTTTGTGTACAATACAATTACCAGAAAGGTTCACTGTGGTGCTATTACAATGAAATTGAAGAGAGGTCAAAACGGCCAAGTATATGTCAATTGTTTGTCAGGATGCTTTTACAATGACAGACAGTGTGAAGACTCCTGTACATGTTTCTGCCATGCATTGTCTAGATGGTACAGGTCTCATTCCTGAGTGTGAAGCACATTGTGGAAAAAAGATCATTGTTAGAGCCCAAGCTGAAGAGAGCTTTCATGTTGCAAGTTCATAAATTTGTTGCATGGTCTAAGTACAAAGTTAGAAGCTTTCATGTTACATGGACATACATTGCTTCATGTACTAAGGCAGCAAGCTCACTGAAGTTTCATGTCATGTAAGATGTACATGAGTCCAGTGTCAAGCTGAACAGCTTCATGTTCATGTACATGTTCATGTAGTGTCAAGCTGAACAGCTTCATGTTCATGTACATGTTCATGTTCATACTTAATTCTCATACATGTATGCTTCTTGTACTATATTCTTTCCTTTTGCATGCGATTACATTATTGTAGCTGTTTGCTTTTCCTGTGACAAGACCTATTCATTTGTCGCATTTGATCTGATGGCTATGTGGACTGTGGAAGACATCAAGAAGGAGATTGCTGATATCAATGCTTTCCTGGGGCATAGGAAAGCTGGGGGCAAATCAATGACTTGGAGACTTCCATGCAAAAAGGGATCCTGGCAAAGATCGATGCTGTGTCTTTGTCTCCTGCAGACAGCTTGTTGCTGTACAAGCAAATTGATGAGAGCTCATCATTCAGTACTGCCATGAAGAACACATTGAAAGAGCAGGTTGACCAGACTTTGACAAAGCCTACTCAAACACAAGGGCCCCAAGTGACCTTGAAGCCACAAACCATTTCATTGCCTAAGTACCTCACCAAGGAGGAGTGGAATATTGTCCTGACTGGCCAGAACTACCATGAGAAGGTCAACACTTTGGTGGGAAGATTGGTTCAGCTGGGTCTCAAGAGTTTGTCAGAGAAGTCGGTCAAGTCTGCCACAGCCTGTCTTTTCTGTTCTCTGTCTACTTTGCCTGATGCTTTGGCAAAGTATCAGATGGTGCAGGATGTGAAGCTGGCCTTCACCAGCAAGGCTTGCACAGGGAGTGACATGCCCTTTATCTTGACATATCCTGAAGAGCCTGATACTCTGTCTCCTGTTGCGCTTGCAAAAGCCTATTCA